CACCAAAGAATCTATATTCATTTATTCAACTAAATATATTCGTTTAAAATATTAATGGTTTATTTAACTATTTTTTTTTGGTACAAACTTTATTTAACTATTTAATATATTCAGAGAATTTTTTTTTTAGCCATGTAGAAATGATAAACACAAATTTTAGCCATAGTTTGAAAAAAAACATCTTTTTTAGCCATTTTGGCACATGAAAAGTCTTAAATGCCCTTACTATATTTTTTTTTTTTAAAAAAAAAGTTTATCTCTCTTCTCTCTTCCATTATCTTCATCTCTCTTCTCTTTTGAAAAAAAAAAAATCATTCTCTTAACAAAAGCAAAAAAAATTCATTCTCTCTATATTCATTCCGGCAACATTCCGGTGATATCTCGGGAATACTAGTGTAAAGGTATTGTTATAATTTTTTTTTAATGGGCCACATATATATACTATTAAAATTAGTAAATGAATATGGCAAAAAAAAATTGTAGAATAGATTTTTTGGAACATTGAATGATTTCTGGGCCCAGAAATTGATTTCTGGGCCCAGAAATCGAATCTGGGCCCAGAAATCGATTTCTGGATAGTCTCGTTTCTTGACCAGAAATTGATTTCTGACCCAGAAATCACATTTCCCACCCAGAAATCGATTTCTGGATTGTCTCGTTTCTTGTCCCAGAAATCGATTTCTGACCCAGAAATCGATTTCTGGGTAATCTCGTTTCTAGTCTAGAAATTAATTTCTTGCCCAGAAATCACATTTCCGATCCAAAAATCAATTTCTGCGTCAAAAATTTAATTTCTGGACCAGAAATGTGATTTCTGGGACCCAGAAATTGTTTTCTGGATTATCTCGTTTCTAGTCCCAGAAATTCACATTTCTGGTCCAGAAATCACATTTCTGGCCAATAAATTGATTTCTGGGACGTAAATGTGAAAAAATTGATTTCTTGTCACGAAATCGATTTCTGGGTCGGAAATGTGATTTCTGGTTCCCAGAAATCGTTTTTCTAGATTATCTCGTTTCTAGTCCCATAAATGTGATTTATGGACCGGAAATCGATTTCTGGGACAAGGAATCGATTTCTTGATAAGAAATCGATTTCTAGTCCAGAAATAGATTTAAATGTGATTTCTGGACAAGAAATCGATTTCAGTCCAGAAATAGATTTCAGGGTTAGAAATGTGATTTCTGGTTAAGAAATCGATTATCGATTTCTGGACAAGAAATCGATTTCTGGATCAGAAATAGATTTCTGGGTTAGAAATTGAATTTCTGGTCCAGAAATCGATTTCTTGTCCAGAAATCACATTTCTAACACAGAAATCTATTTCTGGACCAGAAATTCAATTTCTGGACCAGAAATCTGTTTTGAAATTGTTTGTCATTATTTCTTGTCCCAAAAATCTGTGTGATTTCAAAAATCATTTTATAAACCATTTTATTTGATTTTTTTATAAACATTGATTACTTAATTCTCAAATAATTATTTGAAATTGTTTGTCATTAAATACTTTTACATCTTTGGTTACAGATGTGTGAAAAAGTTCGAATTGTGCATAGCGGATTTTGGGATGAGAATGTTTATAAAAATGGACAGGCAGAGATGGACTTTATGCGCTTGGGGAGTTTATCGTATGAAGACTTTTTAAGTAGAGTTAATGACATTGTTGGTGGAGACAAACACACATGTGAGTATCGATTTCACTTCTTGATGGCGAATGAAAATGGAGAGTTGTTGTCGTGTTGTCCCTCAAGTTGATCCCTCGACTGTCGCTTCATCATCAGGAAAAAAAGTTCGTAAGTGTGTAATATGCAGACAACCCGACCATACTAGACGCACTTGCACACAAGTGCAAATGTAATCATCGTTAATAAACATTTTTATTTTTCTTTTTTTCTTTTGTGGCAAAACATAATTGGGATGTATTTGTTTGGATGATTTGTGTATGGTTAATGACTTTATGGGATAAATTGTTGTGTGTATTTTTGTTATTTTGATGTAGTCATCGTTTTATAATATATTTGTTTTTATATTCTTTTAACGCTCTATGTGTAGTCGTTTTTTATTCATTCTTAGTGCCTAAAGTTGCTAAAATTGCCCGTGTATGTCTCGTGCCAGGAAACCACGCTATTGTAATCCCATTAGTAATTTAAAAAATCAAATAGTATACAATAGTGTCAAACGAAAAAAAAAAGTTTCATTACTTGCGGCCGCGGAGCTTCCTTAGCCCCGGCCGCGGTGACTACATTGGTTGCAGATTGAGGAGGGACCCTGCCTAAAAAATTCGCGGCCTCGGACTTTTGTCGCGCCCGAGGAGAACAATCGCGGCCGCGGAGCTTTTAATAGCCGCGGCCGTGGCGACTAGTTGGTCCCAGAACCTGAACTTCTGCTATTAAATCACGCGGCCGCAGAGTATGTCGTGGCCGCGGAGTGTAAAAATGTCGCGACACTAAGGCAAGTCGCGGCCCGCGGGAGTCCCCATTTTTTAGCCTCTTGAGCATGTTTTTGGGCCATTCTCTCGACTCTATCTCCTCTCAAATCCGTGACTTCTCTCAAAAATTCAAACTATCGATTATCAGTTTATCTCGAAATCCTTGTATATTTTCAGAAATTCTTCGTCACAATCCAAGATTCTTCACCCTGTAATTTACCGAATAGTTCGAGTTCGAATTCGGGAACCCTAAAGCCAAAAATCACGACCCGCGTTTCTCACCGGCCACACCTCCACTCCGGCGAGTCTCTCCGGCATCCATTACCTCCTCATACCTGCAAAGGTTATCATCTTATGACTACAAACTCAAAATAGAAATTGAAAAAAAAAAAAGCACCATACAACTAAGAAAATTGAACTATCAAAACCCATGAAAATGTCTAGTTGGAAACATATGGGCTAAAATAATGGGTACTAATATATTGAGCAATTAACAGTAATTCTAGAAACAATAATTATATATTCCTCATGAGCACAACTGAAGGAACCTACAAGATCACTCAAAAGAAAAGGAACATAAAAGATGTGTTTGGTTCATAGAATAAACTTTTTCAGCCCAGTCACACAACAATATATTGGTATGTTACGCTACAAGATAATCAAACATCATATTAACAAATGTAAATTGTACCCATCACGATGTCGCTTTTGCTTTGTTCCTCTGAGTACGTCCACAATCTATAATCATTCATATTACATGGATGAGTATCATTTTAGATAGAAAATGAATGGCAAATGAGTTAATAATTAGACTAGGGGAGTGAAAATTACCTTTGGCGGTTCTTTTCCTCCCTGAAATAGATGCTTCACATCAAGAAGGCGAGGATCAATCTTTGCAGGTGCTTTGTACTTGAAACCCAAAACATATATTTCAGCAGAAGCTGATCGACTAGCTTGTGGCTTCTCCACTTCAACTTTCTCAAACAACTGCAGGGAAAAGCTCGGGTTATTATCAATTATAAAAATGAGTTCATCAAATGAAATGGTGTATTGCCTGTCTAAGACAATACAGGACAACTGTATAATCTTGAGACCTGAAAACAATCAATAATCAATAGAAAAAAAATAATAAACATTAAGTTTAACCTATAAAATGCATGGTTAAACAAAAAAAGAATAATAATCATTAAAAACCATACTGATATTGTAGATAGAGAACTACATAGACTACAACATAATACAAGCAACATACATCAATGGAAGCCACTGGGACTAAAGACTCATAGGTTATTACACACTAAGCCATATTACACCAAATACATCAACACACTACTAATTACATAGTTTCCCAAGAAGGTAATAGATTTCATGGGACTCCAAACATTACACAATCACACAAACAAGAGACACATTAAAGGCCTCATATGCTGTCAATTCACACCCTTTTTTCCTCAAAACAGGGCCCAACAAAATGCTTAAAATTTAATCCCACATTTTAAGGTGTCCCAAATTTAGTCCCACAATTCACATTTAATCCCACAATATGCACAAAAACTCACAAGACAACATTTCAACATAATGCCTCTTTTGCTCTTTTATTTTCTCATTTCTCGTAGCATACATAAGGAGCCAAGGAGCCATAAAGAGCTCACATTCTCAGCCCAAATACAACAAAGCATACAAACATTTCAAACACAACATAATGTTTCATCACATAACAAATCTAGCATGCCTAATAACCCATAATTTCAACAAACTTAATAAATCTAGCATAACACATAATGGTTCATCACAACATCACAAGATCTCGGTCAAAATAATGCACAAAAGACGCAACATAAAAAGAAGACTAACCGTAAAAGGTCGGAAGAGGTCGGATGCTAAGGATGGTCGCCATAAAAGGAAGACTAACCGGCTGGAGGTCAGAGCTCGGAGATTGCGGGTGTTAGGTTCGTCGCCACAGTGTTCGGTTGGGTCACGACGTGGCTCGGTTCGCCGGTGAAAATTGAAAGAAGAACAAAAATCGATTTGCAAAGCCTTAGCCCTAATTCCGGTGAGCACAAAAAATTAAGGGATGAGAACCTTAATTACTGGTGAAGCTGCGGGATCAATTTTTTGCCGACGAGGAGCAGCGGATGTCGGAGGTCGTGAAAACAGCGTGACGGCGAGCTCGGAATTGGGGAAACAACTACCTGTTTTCGGATTCACCGGGGATGAGGTGCTCGAAGGTCACGAAGAACATTACGGGCTGGAGAATTGGAGCGTTGCGGGGCTCGGAGAATTGGGGCTGGAGAATTGGAGTTGCATTTTTTTTTTCTGTGAAAATTCAAGCCAATTTTGCCTTTTTTTTTTCTGTGAG